AACGTGCTGTATTTGATGTCTTATTTTCTGCTCTCTAGATTGGTTCTCCACCTATGAAGGACTCTTCATTCCATTTCCACTCTGGAAAGTAAATGTCTCCTCTTTACATTGCAACTCAGTCTTCCCCAGGGGAAGGTCATCACAGAACTAGCCCAGTCAAGTGATGGGTACATATGTTAGCTTAAATTTAGCACTTGGTCAACAAGTGAATTGCTAATTTCAGGTATGCATGTTTATAACAATCAGAAGAATTAGACTGATCCTCAGCGCAAATTGTTAAAATCACTAGATCATCTATTGTGGATTGCTAATTTTTGTCAGAGAATAAGGGAACAAGCACAGACACTATTATGAGGGTTCACTTGCAGCTAACAACACATGAACTGACCATTACATTAAGAGAACAAACCATTAATGAAGTCTCAATAAATTGAGAAAAAGTACAACTAGAAAAGTACTTAATGGTGAATGATTTAGGCAGCATGTGAAGTGTAGCCAGGTTGAACTTCAACTAGCAGCTGCACTCTTTGCAGGTTTTACCAAATTCCTTCTTACATAGGATGCATGGTACAAAGTGACAAGTTCAGCAAATGGGAGAATCCTTGCAGTAACTGCTGTCAAGCAGATATGACTAACCACACACAAGATTCCTTGCAATTCATCTCAACTCAAACTTGTTGCAAGCTGCTATTTTAACCTTCTTTCCCCCCACCTCCTTGGGGTTGTCAGCCACATGTCTTTGCTTCAGATTCAGTAATTGTGTGAAGTGGTCCAGTATTTAATAAAGTTGCCAGACAGGGCCTATAATGTTTTACTTGTGACCTAATTAAGATCCAAATTTAAAACCTGCAGAGAAAAATGCAAGAAGTTTCATTCCCATTAGCCACTTCCTTTCTCTCATGCACATGTACACACACACACACTCTTTTATTGTACGGCCATCTTTGCACAAACGTTCACCTTTTCATAAAGTGTTTAACAGAGCCAGCAGAATGTAGAAGGATAAAGAGGTTTCTCAGGAATATTGCTGTATGTGTGTGTGCATGTGTGAGTGTGAGAGAAAGAATGCACAAGCACACAGAACCAATGCCATGGTACAGCAGCTATGAAGTTACACACATTACACACTCTTTTTTCTTTACAAAAGGGAAAAAATAGTATAACAGCATAAAGCCATCTTGGCAAGCTTAAGATTTTCCTCCAAAATGCCTTTCAGCACTTCAGGATCTCTGAGAACAGTTTAAAGAGGGAAGGGAAATAAAATTTTAAAAAAAAAAAAAAGGCACTTAAACAAAGGACAAAGGCCTGAATCAAGTAAGTCATGGAAGGTACAGCCATTTCACCAGAGCTAGGATCAATCAAAGTCTACCAAACTTTTTTTAAATTTCTATAAAATTAAAATTGCATAAAGTGTTATTTAATCAGTCATTTACCTACTGCTTTCACCTTCTGGTTCATTTTAGGGGGGGGGAAACCAAACCACAAACCAAAAACCAAAGCCAAACAAGAAGCAAGTGTCCCTTTAATGATTTCCCCCCCGCGCCCCCCCCCCCGCCCAGTTCAGCAAAAGATGAATGTTAGGTGTGGGAGGAAACCTTCCACAGCTTGGCTTGGCTGCAGGGCTTCCCTGCAATGCCATCTTCAAAAAAAAAAAACCCAAAACAGAAACAGAAGAGGGACCACTGTGCCTTCACCAATTCACTCAAAAAGAAAAAAACCCAACCCAAATACAACCCGAACACCCCAACACTTCTAATCCATCTGTGGGCAAAAACTACTCAAAAGAAAACCAAACTGTAAACTAGATTCAGATTTGCTAATAAATACAGCCAAAAGTTCATTTTACGAATGTAGCAGCAAATGTGATAAAGTTAGTTGGAGTCCAAGATGACTCCCAGAGGGTTAATGGTTCACACAACTGATGGCAGCTTGGGAGAGTTGCAGGATTTCTCTGTTTTCATGTCCTCAAGGGTCTTGCACCAAGTGGAGAAGGAGTGTGGAGGAAGGGTCAGGTGATGGGACTGCGGGAAAGAAACAGGCTCTTGGCACCTGTCCCACCCCCAAATCTGTGCATCAGACAACTTTGATGGGATTCAAACAAGACGCAGAACCCAGGTAATTGAAAGTTACTTCTGATTAGCAGAAAACAGATGTGAAACCCACAGCATCCACACTTGTGTCTTAGTTGTTCATTATTAGTTATGTATCTCAAATCAACAGAGAAGGCTGGACAAAGTGATAGGCCATTTGCATCTCAGAGTGGGAGAACACTGCAGTTATAGCCCAAGGTATCAGGAAACTTTGCAGCCTGTTTTTCATCTAGCCTGCCTTCTTTCTTTGCAAGTGTCTCAAGAGGATTTAAAACAGCTACCACGACTTTTCAGACTTTGGATCATGTAGCAGAAAATATTACCCAGACGGTTTTAACATCTAAAACCTGTGTTTGAAATTATTGCTTGCATTTGTTTGGGGCTCTCAGTGAGCTAGACCTGTTAGCTCATATACAGTCCCCAAACCAAGTTCAGCCCTGCTGCCTGGAAAAGACAGCTCTACTTGGCTTTCTTATTGCTTGTGAATACTGAGGGTTATTTAGTATGTACAACTACAGTTTATTTATTAACAAAGGCCCTTAAAAAGTAGTAAAAACTTGGAGGGAAAATGTCTTTAGAAGAGCTGCTGTGCAGAAAATAGTAAAACATTAACCTAATTTTGCATTTGGACGTTGCAGAAATCTTTCACTTCCCCATCCTGTTTATGCTACTTGCAAAGGTCTCTGGGAGCCACCCTATTATTTCCTTTCATTTGGCCTTGCTAGGTTTAACCGGGGAGAATAGGGAACAGGGAATGTAGACCCTTTCATTGCTATGTTGCTGATTCCAAAGAAGCTCAGGAACATATTGACTGAAAACAGTTACCCTCTGGGGAGCTGTTTGAACTGGCTTCACGAACAACATACGGTCATCTTTATTCTCATCATCCTACTACCTGTTTCCACTGTAAGTATTAGTTTACTTGTTTGCCAAGACTGAGAAGCTCAATAGGCCACACAGACAGGACTACTCCTACCCTTCTTAAGGTTTAGAGAGGATACTCCTCAACTGAAGGTGAGGCATACTTCCAGGAAGAGAGGAATGTTGAAAGGAAATTTGTGCTGTAATTACAAAGGGCTCCAAGTCTCCCAATCTAAAATTTCAGTAAGTATGAAGACAAAAGATAGCAATTTGAATGAGATGCCTTGATGAGGAAAACATAGAAGAGGTAGAACTCTTAGGACAGGGTCTTTTAAACATATTGCTGCCTGATGGCTCGCTGCCGCAACTCCCTTAGCTACAGTCATTGTTAAAAACTACCAGGTTTGACAGTTCAGAGAACTAGCATCCTGCCAGAATGGTTAGGCCTCAAAAAACAAGTTGTCTTCTTTCAACCCTTCCTGGAGAAAAGAGCAAAAAAAAAAATCAGATGAAGCTTGCATTCTAAATATTTTATGGTATTTTGACAGAATTTGCACAGTATTAAGAATGCCAGAGTCTGTGTAGCTGTATGTTTCAACTCTAGATAACCTTGATGATGGAGATGCAAGCTTATCTAATCAACACGCCACATACAAAACATTAGCACTAGCTAAAATGCATTTAATTGGCAGATGCTGTGGAGTGAAGTTAACGAACTAATGTATCTTCTTTTAATTCAATCTGTTTTTCACAGAATTGTTGTGCAAAAACATTTATTGCTGAGCTCAACCCAACATTTTTATACTAAATACACAATATATATTATTTAAATTCATGTATATATATTTATATAAAATTAAAATGAGCTCTAAATAGAAAAGAAATTGTTGTCTGGTCTAAGAAAAATAAATCACATGTAAAAGAAACCTGAAAGCTATAAGTTAATCTAGCGAAAAACATTGAAGGTCAAAGTCTCTCTGGAAGGTGAAATAACCAGTCATCACTGGTTCAATCTCAAATCAAACTCCTGGAAAGACTAGCTACTAGGAATTTCAGCATCTCTGATCAAAGGAATGTTTCGGGGTTAAAGGAGAAAAGCATCATACTATTTTATTTGCTCCTTTCACCTATGACATTTCAGTTTCTGCCATTCTCACCTCTTATCTGACAGCGCAAGGGACTCAAAGTTCTGTCCTAGTGTCGAAAGTGCAACATGTGCTGGATACTTCCTAACCTTACAAATGAACCAGTTGATGTATTGCTATCAATTTAAAAAAAAAAAGCCAGCTTTGCAGTCTTGTGCTACCATGTAAGAGTTCAGGTCAGGAACTCCCCAGGCCAGCAGGGGCTGGAAATGCTGGAGACAACAACCCATTCAGCCCCCCGAAGAGAAGGCACCTCTGGTCGCTTTTGAACGACTCCTCTTTGGCTAATGCCTGAAGCAGTATTAACCTGGCTCTGGAATAGGTCACAAATAGCTTTCTTTAACTAGCAAATCAGTATAATGCATGGCTTTGGGAGGAGTTAGATGAAAGACGAGTAAGATCTAGAATGAGTAAAGAATTGGTTGTGGTTTATAAAACACACATATAGAACATTACTTAATTTCAGTAGCAGATAAGCACAAGGAAAAGAAAGTTTAACAAACGGAAGGACTGAAAAATCAGTGTGCCTTTAAAAAAAAAGATGTGGGAAAGAAATGCTAGTCTGACCAATAAAACGTGGGTTTCCTTTTCATACAAATGGAAAAATATCCATCCCCTTCCTCCCTGAAATAAGAACCTTTATATTAAAAAAAAAAAAAATCGATCAAGGAGCAAGGGATTTCCCAGTAGTCTTATGTCTCACATCTCAATGTACCAGGAGATGTTTTTGAAGACAACTCTCTAATGAGACTGCATACATCTGTAGGCTCCCTAAAGCCAAACAGCCTTGTAAAGCTGGAAAAATGCCCGTATCAGAAACTGCATTTGTGTAAGGGCTTAATTATAATGCAAAGTATCCCAGCACCACCTCTATTCTACATAACCTTTGGTCCACAACCATATAGTACACTCAGGACCTACACATAATCTTTTACTGGGCACTTTGGGCACTAATGAAGTGGATGATTCCACGTTACATCATGGATGGAGAAACCTATTCTAGCTCCTCTCAACTTTCAACTCTTCATTGGACATCACCCAGATGGATGGAGAAACCTATTCTAGCTCCTCTCACACTTTCAACTCTTCATTGGACATCACTCAGAAAAAAAATGTTTGTGCTGCTGTGGGTTTGACGATCAATTTCTTTTAAAAGCCAATCAGAGCAGATAAAAAAAGCTTGTTTCTTTAGGCAAGATCAAACTATGACCAGTCTGCATGACCAGGAGGACCAGTCCTCCTTTTCCTTCTCTCTTTGATCAAGTATTGTTTTCTTTTTCTTCTTCCTCTCACCACAGTGCTTGGGATCAGAATATGTAAACATCGACAGAAACAGCAGCCCTGTGACAATAAGCACTTTCCCAACTGGGCAGATTCTGTCAGCCAACCAGAACTGCTTCAGCTCCCTTGCTTGTCCAGAAGTCACTGGTTTTTCCGCTGTAACTTAGTGTCCCCTTTACTTTGGCCTCCATCTGTAGTTTAGAGACAGGAAAAAGGAAGAAAAAAAAGCATGAGTGAACTGTTAAAGAGACACAGGAGTTTGGCATGTTCAGCTTTAGCATCTCCAAAAAGCACAATGTCATTATAGGGTTGAAGACACTGCATTTTCTCTGCAATTCTTTTATTAGAAATAGCACCGTTGAAACCTGAGATATCAGGCATCATACCAAAAGATACCATCTTTCTACAGGTTAGGTTGCAGCTTGGGATACTGAAAAATATTCTTTTAAATCAAGCCTTTTTAATTAGCCTTTACATTTTAATAAAGCATTTTTAGTATTCAACCCATTGCACTGACTGTAACAAAAAATTAAGGTTGTACCAAATATAGTAGATTGGTTTGTTTTCACAGCCTCAGAGCAACACTGCCCAGTTTTCTGGGGCTGAGGACTCTGAGAACACGATGAAGAACCCCCACCAAGCTGCTGCCACCCTTTCTGTTCTTCCAGCAAAAAAGCCCTACAGGTGTCAAAGAAAGGAGTACGCTCTAAACTGCGCCTTCTAAAACTTTATGATAGTTCTTCAGCTCTAAGCCAAACAAACAGAAAAACAAGATGTTCTACTTCAGGCTTCTCTTCTCAATTATAACATGCAGCTCTTATCAAGGATGAAATTCCCAGGCAAGGCAGATCTTCCATCAGGATACCATCACACTGTTCACACATGTATACACTCTTAGAAAAAACATGAAGAAGCTTCTAGATGGAAGGTCAGTTTCTCCTCCAAAGGAGAAATTAAAATTGAGTGGAAAATACAATCTCACCAACAGACTTTAAGCAGCGTGTAAACAATCATGTTAAGTGTCCAGAAGTAGTATTCCTTTTTTCCCCATAGTTGAATTTGTGCAATTTGGTTTCTAGGACTGCTACAATAAAGTATTATTGAAAATTTTGAACTTTTGTTGCTGGTATTGAAGACAAATAGAAAAAAAATTGTTCAGGTTCCAAAAACGTTGCCACAATAGAATGTGTGCTGCCTGCTGCTACCAAAGCTTGTCCCTGTATTGTGTTGTCTTTAAAACCATTTCAGTTCTTATGTACATGGTATTTCAGTCTAGGGCAGAAATCTGACTTCTAAGTTACAAGTAAGAAAAACACAATGTCTTTACCTGTGTAAGCTTGCTGCAAGTGAGCAGGCAGAGGTGAATGAGACAGCGTTGCTGCATGCTGAGCACCTGGCTGTAAACCCTTCAGTAAGTCTGGAGGAAAAAAAAAAAGGAGAGCAACAAAGATGAAAAATAAATCTTAAGGACAGAGGCAGCCTTCGTGTAATGCAAAGTTTTTATTTTTATAGTGCAGCTACAGTAGCATGCTGATTTGCACAGATTTGTGAAGATGTATCTCAACAATGAAAAATAAATACCTGATAGCATTTGGATGGTTGGAATAAGTCAACAATAACAGACCTTATTCAGATCAAGGTTAATCAAAAGTCAGAGCAAGGACCACGCCTCGCTATTGGGATGCAACTCTTCATGTAACTTCCTTCGGCAGAAAGGCCAAAAATTGATATAGGTTAAACCCAAATAATTTATTTTTGAGCAATGAGAAAAATAAATGTCATCTTGGTTAATACTTCCTCATAAAAGAACTGTTTGATATCTGAGATTACTGAGCTAAGGATATCTTGAGGAATCACCATAAGTCTCTTATTTGTATTGCGACATCTGGAGACTTTTAAGCTATGTTCCTTTCTAAACATAGGGCATTAAAAGTTAACCCAGAAAAGCATGTTCAAAACTAAGTATGCTGTGAATGTAACAATGAAGTCAAGCTTATTTATTATACGGCGATAACATTTGAATAATTATATAAAAAATTTACTAATGAAGAAATCACATTTACTCTCTTGTAGGGATTTTCATGAACTTTGAGTCCCTCAGAACTTTAGTGCCTCCCTTTCTAATTTCCATTTTCAGGATGCATCTTTCCTTATAGCACAGTGACAACTATCTCCACTCACTCTGAGTTAGGCTGTGGTGGAAAGCCGCTGAGGTAGATCCCGAGGTGGTTGTCACTCCAGCTGTGTCCGTCCCAAAGCCAAGCAGCTCCAAGGGAAACTGGAAGGGCACGGTCACAGGAACAAGGCCACCCAGCATCCCAAAAGGAGTTAATGGTGCAGACGTCACGTTCTGACTGGTTACAGACAGTGGTGATGCCATGAGAGTCAGAGGTGAGGCGTTAGCCAGTAATGATGCTCCTGCTGTTGACTGTATAAAGAAAAGGAATACTTCAAGATTTGAAAGACTTGAGTTGTATTCTTTAAGAAGAATTGACACTTCACTAAGTGTGGCCCTATGAAGAAGTGTATTAAACTATTAATAAATATCTACTTATCCACCTAGGAGGTCTTCCCCACTGGTCATCTGCTAAGCAAGTACAACTATATCTCAGATTCACACATGACAGTATGGTTCACCTATCACGTTTTTCTCAGACTTGCAGGTAATTTCCTCTATCTCCTTTCTAATCATGCATTGAGTCTACCAGTCAGAATCTGATGCATCATCTTCTATTAGACTGATAATACAAAATTATCAGATGTAGATCTGAAGTTTTTTAGAAGCACAGTATTACCTTCCCCTCTCCAAATCTGGGTCTTAACAGAACACTAACTTTATTTCTAAAGAGGTTGCTTAGAAGCAATGATTTTTGAAAATTAAGATTCATACACAAGAACCTCTACACTTCGAGAGAAGTCAGGTTACCAAGGTGCAGACACACATGCACGCATAGGTGTGTATGCGCATGTCAAAGCAATAGCCAAAGGAAAATAATCTCTCCACTCTATATGTAACAATGAAGTTATTCACTATTAAAAACCAAAATGCAATATTAGCGAGAACATTTTAGCTACAACAGTTGCCAAATTAGGTTAATTCCTCAAACATTAGAACAGTTCATTGTTGTTTATCAATCCTTCCTTCACTACACATGTAGTTATTTTATACGCTAATGCTCAACTGTCTAATAATCCACTACAAAACAGTTAGAGTTTTGAATCAGACTCAAGCTCAGGTATCTTAGATATTTGAGTTAAAAAGACCTCAGACTGAAGAGAACTTCAAACCTGTGCATTTATGCAAGTAAGCCTTAACTAAAACCAAAACTCGGAATCATTTTAAAGAATATGTGAGCTTAAAATGAAAATGAATTCTCCTAGAGTTCTGTAACATCAACTTACAGAAACAACAAAGTGATGAAAACTCCTAGCAGGGATAAAGTTTCTAATACCAATTTCAGTCTTAAGGTGTTCAAGATAGAGCAGAAAAAGAAAGGTTAGTTGCTGCTTATGAGAAAACAAAATTTTAAAATAGTAACCCTGTAAGTGTAAACTACAGTAAGGTGTTCAAGATAGAGCAGAAAAAGAAAGATTAGTTGCTGCTTATGAGAAAACAATTTTAAAATAGTAACCCTGTAAGTGTGAACTGCAGGTGTGATGTTCGTAGCAAGTGTGATGTTCGTAGCAAGTGTTTGTATTGGTCATCTTAGGAGTGACAGCTTTTAAGACGTACTTCACCCCACAAGTAGGAAAAAAAGGATTAAACACTTCAACATACATGACTATTCTCTTTTGCCTTTAAAAGTACTAATTTCACAGTGAGCCTATGTACAAAAACTGACAACCGTTCACTATGTAATCTTTACTGTGCAACAAAATAAAAGTAATCTCTTGCAATTGTGGATTTGTAAGATGCCTGAAAACAGAAAGAAGCTTTGTAGTGTGCTCTGCCAAAACCTTGCTTACCCATCCAAAAAAAGGTGAGGGAAGTTCAGTGATGAAGAGCTACAGAGAATACCCTAAAAGAGTTGCAGTTCAGATGCTTCTGTTTATTCCACCTATGATAGTGCTTCATAAAATAGTTCATCCTGCTCATGTAAATCTGAGTCACTAAGATCCTTAGAAGTCTAAGACAGATTCTGTTTAAGAGTACTAATGGTAGGTAGAGCTTAAGGAAATCACACACAATAATTGCTGAATTTTAGATGACTTTGGCTTGGTGTTCTTAAGACGTAACTTAACAGAATACTCCAGAGTAAAATTTCTGTGGAGCTACAACAGGTGTAACCTTATATTCTAGTAAATAACTGTGTCAATAAAAAGGACAAAGGAGGGAAACACTTGTTGGAAACCCTTCCTAGTTAGAAACATCTTTATTATCACACAAAATTACCTAGTCTAGTCTTAACATAAGCAAACCAGGATATTCTAACGAGCAACTCTGGTACCATTCTCATCTTTGGACTGATTAATAGCATCTCATCGGAATTAAATCCCTAAACCCTTAATGGAAAGGAGATTCACTTTCAGTCTTATGCAAAGTTTTAAGAGGTGTAACTAACTCCTTAGCACATTGTACTTAACTAGTCTGGAACTCATAAAGTTCAGCAGCCAGCCATTAGATCTTTAAGGAAAAATAAAGCCCTCAACACAAATCTCTTCTCCTTCAGTGTACTTGGACTGGGAGGCAATTTGATTTCTTGAAGGTACTCCACTGAGTAAGCCTTGGTCTGCACAGTAGCAACAGCCTTATTCCATAGTTTATCTTCCCTGCACCATTCTTCTGAACCATTTCTAGGTTATCAAAGCAACTTCTGAAATGTCAAAAACACCCACATGTAAAGTCACAATAATTTTAGTCATACCATACATTGATCAGTACCTCTACCTGTTTTCCCCCCTTTATATACCAGCACACCTTATTTTGCTGTATTACAGCATGCACTCATATTACTTGATTACCCATCACCTCCCCCCTCCAGTCCTCTTCAATATCACTGTCTGCCAAAATGCATTTAATTCCCCAGGTGATCAGTGTTTCTAAAAAAACCTACCTGCCTTTAACCACAGGAAGGTTTGCCAGAATTCATCTGTTCATCCAACACAATACTACTTAATTCCCTCATCTTTAAGCACTACCACACCCATTGCACATTGTCTTCTACATCATAGCAATTGTACGCACTGGATTCTGCTGATTGCTCCAGGAAGAAACAACTCTGTTCCCAGTTCATTCACTGTAGCTTTGTCTCCTCTAGGCACCTTCCAGAGTACCCTAACGGCACTGTACCTGGCTCAGCTCTTCTCTAGCCCTGTGTGGTACCTCAGTGGTTCTTACAGAGGTATGGGCTGCGCTTTTTTCAAAGTACCCAAAATAATGAGAAGGCTGTGTCAGAGCCTGCCAGACATCTTGTTTACTGTAACAGACTTAAGGTATAAGGTATAGTAGGTTGAAAGACCATTGAAATGTCTTGTAAAAATCATCTTCCTCCTGTTATTCAGCTGCATCAAGAAAAACTTGACAGCAAGCTAAAAGATTATAAACCCTTACTAAAAGATGAATATATATCACTCCTGTGCAATAGCTATTACGTACATTGTTCAGAAAAAACAAAGCTTTTCAATTTGCCATATACCAAGACTAATTTACAACAATATTGCTTTTCTTTAGTGAAGACTTCAGGATAGAGAGCTCAATAAAGAGAGAGGAAAAACCTCCAATCATCTCAGTAATTAAATCATTCCCAGTAAGAACGCACAACTGGGGAAAGCAGATAGTTTTCTGGGTAAATAACACGTTTGTGTGGGTTTTAGAACTGTTTCTCAAAGTATTTGCTTTGTACAACTGGTTTTATCTCCAGTGATGAAGTTCTGCATAAGCTCTCTCAAACAATTTCTAGGATATTTATATATTAATGAGGTGTCTCATTCAGTTTGTCTAGATCCTACAAAATAAAATACATATTTAATCACAAATACAAGAGAAAAGCCCTTGTAAGCACTAATTTTAAATACAAGCCTCGCAGTATACTCAAGCCACAAGCAACTGAACTCTTGTTCTGCAAGTTAATCGTGAAGCTTTGGCAACACATGTACCAAGACACCTTTTCGTAAGATCATCATTACAAATAAGTAAATATGCAAGAACACACAATCCATTAATGCAAAAAAACACCACATCCCCTGAAAATATGGCCACACAAAGCTTACCTTTTCTAGTGTTCTTAAAAAAAACCAACTTGGAATCTGTTCCACAGTATAGACCAACCAACATTTTTTTAGTGAGGATTTGTTCCACACCGATTCTTGCATTTCACATCAGCTGCAAATACCTACTCACTAGTGTGAAAGTTTCATCAGTATTAGCATTCATGCTTAGCAAAGTATAAACATCACATTTATGACACATTTTCAAATCAGTATATTGCAAGAAAGAATGTTTACAAAATAACTGTGATCAATATTAATTCAAGGTTTAAATGTAAACTCGTTAGATGCGTACCTGCACACTGGCTGCTACAACTGGAGACCCTGAGGCAGAAGATGGTCTGTGTGGAGTTGACAATTGTTTAGTAGCACCCTGTGTTCCACTTCCAGCTCCCCCAGACAGACTAGTCCTACTAGCTCCACTTGAGTTAAGGTTACTGCCTCTGCTGGCAGGTACATTCATTCCAACTCCACCCAAATTATTTTTACCAACAGTTCCAGAAGGAGAAGAGTTGGGCAATTTTGAAGAAGCCTGAGGGTTCTTTGCAGGCTGAAGGCCTGAGGTGCGATTAGAGGGCAGCAAATTCATTGTGGGAGACTGCCTGCTGATATTTACACCACTGGTCTGTTTATGAAGGGGGTTGTTGCTGGAGTGACTACTCTGGGAAACTAGTGCACTTGAACTGGAAGAACTGGGTGTTGTTGCAGGCCTGGGGGATGAGGTGGACTTGGATGAAAATTTAGGTGATGCATTGGGCTTGGGTGTCACAGAGGGCTTAGATGCAGCGGGCTTGGGAGAGGCAGCAGGTTTGGGAGAGGCAGCCATGGAGAAGGGAGGCTTGAAACCCTGGGAAGAAACTTGTGACACCATAGCCTTGGCTAAATAGTTACTAGAGGTAGAGGTGCTGGATGTTGTCCGAGAAACCAGTGGGTGAGACACTTGAGAGCCACTTCCAGATGAGGGATTAGACAAAGGCAGGCGATATACTACAGACTTATCTTGAGCCTTGATGACTGGTGATGAACAAGACAGTTTGGGATTACTACTCAATTTCACCACTGGATTGGTCTGTGATTTACTAATAGTTGCTTGTAAAGGAGACACATATTTCTGCTGTACAGCTGAATGCTGGTGCACCTTTGTCACTTGTGATGTTGAGGAAGAACTACCTTGAGCCTCAGAAGAGGATACCAAGATATTAGCATCCTTGGTTCTTTGAGAGGAGGTGGAAATAGCTGCTTGGGTCTTAGAGGAAGAAGCATGAGTCTGCGAAGAGGAGGAAGCAGCTTGGATCTGGCTTGACCTCTGTAGTCCTTGTTGAAGTAGTTTGGCTGGCAAAGGCTCTAAGGAAACCTTAGGATTTTGAATTGAAGATCCAGCAATAAGGCCTGAAGAGATACCAGTGTGAACTAGGTCCTGGGGTTTCTTTGGTACTGGCCCTGTGTGACCAGCAATAAGACTTGATGAATGGGGTGTTTGAGTGGGCTCTACTTTCTTTGAAGTTGCCAGGGGCAACTTACTCATAATGCTTGCTAGTTTCTCTTCCCTCAGCCCAGGGCGAGGTCTGGATGTTGGTGTGTCTATGGTGGACCCAAGAGGTGATCCCTTGGCACCATTATTGATAACTGCCAGAGCATCAGAAATAGAGTCTAGGGAGGGTGGGTGGAAAGAGAGGTCTTCATCCAGTGAGTCGTCCAAACAGATCGTCTCTGGAGCTGGCGCGCAGCTAGAGGTGGCTGGGGTGCAGACAGGTGTGCTGGAACTCAGTACAGCAGCGCAACTTGAATTGACTGAAGACATACAGGTTTTCTGCTCTTTCTTTGGACTGGAGTCCTGAGAATGAAGAGATAAGAAAAGACAGGTTTAATAGCCCTTCTAGATCTAAAGTATACTTTAGACTAATACTATTATTCTGTAAATTCAGATGAACCAAAGATCTACTATTGAAATTTACATATTAAGATACCTATGACATCTAGGTGTTGGGAGTCCTGTGCACTAATTCAAAATTTGCATTTTAAAACCTAGTACTGTTGCTCCACATAAAAGTGCCCCATACAGTTAAGAATAATCAATGCTGTGAAAACAGGGTATCTAATCTGATCACTAGGTAAAGTTGCTACTGAACTAAGACAACACCTAGTGGTGTCTAATAAGAATCTCTATGTTATCCTCCCAACCACACGTTTTTTCCGGTGTTGCCAAATTTAATACAAGCTGAAAACAAACACAAAGCACACATTGAAAAATGTCAAACTTTACTGAACTAGTACCTCTTTGTAGCAAATTTTTTAAAAAATAATATATCTTAAAGTTACAAAGCTATACAGAAGTCTCTTCTTTCAAGTAATACATCACCAAGTCAATAAGCTCTTGTAGCATGTCCTGATGGAACCCTTTGCCAGAATTCTTCTGGGTCAGAGGCAGGAAACAGATTGTATCAAATGGTCATATAAAATTCAGCTATCTAAATACACATTTACCTTCACTTTGGGTTTAGGGGCCAGAATCACCTTCTTTTTTGCCCTAAAAGAGAGGAGATACATGTGTATCGGAGGACAAAAGAAAGGCAAGTCATTTTAGCTTTAACTGTTACTCTGATTATATCCCAATAAACTAGAAGAATGACTACGAGTCCAGCTTTAATAATAAAACATCCTTGAAATAGAAAATGGATTAAAATATAGAGGAGGAAGAGAACAAGCACACCTTTAATGCATTTTTATTGTCATGTATTTAAGCAAATTGGATGCAAAATTCACTGAACTGCTGATATAACCTGATATATATCAGGAGAGCTGTTTTTTTACTTTTCTGATTTAGAGAAACTTCAAAATTTCAAGTAATTTCAGCCTCTTATAATCTTAAGAGTTTATCCACTTAGCAGAGCTTTGTCTAAACTGAAGTCACCTATAATAATTACATAATTTCACTTTACATTTGTCACTGAGTATACTTCGTGTTCTCATTTATATTTTGAGCCACAGAAATAGTTGCTTTTTTTCCCCTCCAAAAAAAGTGTTTTGTTGCTTATTAAATGTGAAACAGTTGTATAATTTCTGTTTGATGCAAGAAGCCATTTAAGAAACTTGCAGGCTCTTTTGCAGTGAGCGAGCATCATCATGCCAACTGCAGTTATGTGGGCAAGGACAGCATTAAGGATTATTAGTCATGACCTTCAACTTAGAAGTTAAGCATTTCACACCTCCTTTTCTCATTTCTATTTCTTCAATAGGATCAACAGATTTACATCTTATAGGTCATTTATTCTCCTTTCCTAAGCAACTATGAATATGGCTGGTTAAAAAAAGACCTTGCTGTAGGTGGACCATGACTCAGTTTTGCTATTATGTAGAAAAATATCCCATGTTAATAATTTATCACAAAGATTGCAATTTGGGTGTTAAAGTCTTAATTGTCTATTTGAATTCTGGTGAATGTGGGCAGCTGCTGAGAAGGACATAGCATTGCTTAAAAAAAAAATCAAGAAGGTAAAATTCTGCTAAGATACACAGCCTTCTGTGGTTACAGAGGTATTTATGAGGGGAAGAGCAGGAAGTACTGCAGCCTGAGTTCAATTTAATATGCTGCACAGCAAAATTTAGGTAGTGTACAGTGCTCTGAAATACTCTGAGTAAAAGGTGTTAATCCAAGAATTAATAACCACTTGAGTTACCTAGCTACTTCATAACAGAGTTAAATTAGAATACCACAAGAACATTACAGTTATATGTTTAAATTAAAGCATTAAAAAAAGATTAACATTTTAAGTCTCTTCCAATAAATCCCAAAATATCTCCCTTTCCTCCCCTCTGTCCACAAAAAGATAGCATGAAGATGGGAAAAGATGCTATGAACAACCTCAAGATACTAATAAGTTGTCAGTATTATACTCACGGAGCAGAAGTGAGGTGATTGTGAACACTTCGGCTTTCTTTAAATAGCATCCTAAAAGAGTGGCGAGAAAAGAAACATAAGGTGATTCTACAGGGACGATCAACATATGACCACCAAATATGCAAGTATCCTTCAGTTTTCAGAAGAACCCTTTGATTATCTGTCTCCAAAGCAGCTAGCAGGTAGTTTGTCTGTATTGCTATCATGATGTAGCTCCAGGCAGCCATAAACAGAAGAATGCTATAAAAAAATATTTCAAGTTTACATTCAAAATACCTCAGTAAATGGCCAAGCAAAAGTCAACATAACAGAGTATTACTTCCTTCAGCTGGACAGAAGAACTAAATTTTTATTTCTCTCTCCTCAATTAAATATTTTAAAGAACAAATTAAGGATTATTGTAAACTCTTCACACTATGTGTCCACATATCAACCACAAAACCCAAATCTATGATCAGTCTATTGTGTTTGTTTTTTTTTTTTTTTTAAAGCAGAGGAAGAAAAGTCAGAATACAGTAGCCAAGCTCGTTCCTAATTTTCTCCAGTATTTTGTATAGGCCATTGTGTACAGAAATGGTTTTCTGCGACTTCAATTACACTGGACTTACACAATTTACTAGAAAGCCGATGAATGGCCAGAGTTGATGACAAATCTCAACACTTCACATGATTTTATTTCTGTGTTATAAACTCCTGAGCTGACCCATGGCAAGTCAAAATTATTCCTGATCTGTACCTATCCTACAGCTTGCTACCCAAATGCAGCTATAAATGGACAATTAATGAAGACTTGGTCCCCTTCCCTGTTTCTAGGTAGGCAAGAACAGACAAGATTTTCCTACACCACTGTCATCACACTAACACTGACCAGATCAAGGACAGCTGTCTAAACAAGACCTTTTCACCACTGATAACACATCCTGTAGAGCTGAAAGTTATGAAAAATCCAAGTACCCACAAATCTCATGTAATCTCATAAGAAAACATTGACATCCTCTTGCTACATTTCTAATACCTTACTTCTAAGATTCCACTTTCAGCTCCATTTTCACATTTTCTTCACCATACTAACTTCCAAATCTGTATTACATTGCTCCCCATCAGAGAATACTGAATACCTATGAAGAACATAATGGAGCAAAAGGAACATTCCTCTTTACAAGTTCAATGTGCCACTTTCTGACCTCCCCAGATTCTCCAGAGTATTTCCCTCCCCAACTCCTTCCTTGTGCTTTGTCTATTCTTAATCTTTTTAATTTGGGAATTAAAATTCAAAACAAAACCCAGGCCCCAGTAATTTGAAGTCAAAGATATGGTAAAAAGAAAGGACAGTGCAGTATGTGTTCCAAATCAAGAACATACTTGGAAAATAATCCCTCCATTGCACATATATATTTAAATGTAAAAGTTTCTGAGAGAGATCAGTATGAGATTTTTCTCTCTGATCATGATTTCAAGTCAAGCATGCTGTTTGACCCGCGCAAAATAGATGTGCTGCAAGTCTACTTGCACGACCACCTACAAAGATGATGAAACACTTGGAATTAAAGGAGACAGACTTCCTGTTCCTTACACATTTTTTGACCATACATTTATTTAGGTTGCAGGCTTTATTCAGACACACATGGAATTAATATGCAACCCAGTTACAAAAAAGTGGGTTACACTATTTGGAAAGGCTTTGGGATCCTTTAGGACAAGAATTCATGAATATTAATAAAACAACCTCCTGGAGCAGAGTATGGAAGTTACACACATAGACAATTCATGTGACAAAGGTAGTTGTGGTACACGTGGACAAATAAACAAGGTGTAATTTTAAGTTATGATCAATACCTTGCCTCATGCTTCTATACTAAGCTATGAGGAACATAGCTTAGTAACATCAGTCAACTTTGAAAAAGCAAGAAATTTTTCATCTGGGCTGAACCCATAAAGTTCTGGTACCACAGACCTACTCCGATCAGTAAGAATTCCTCATGAAATAGTCAGCAGGCCATTTAACATGAAATGCCTCCTTTTTTTCCAGTTTACATATCTCCTCTCTTGAAGCCACATATAAAGCCAACAAATTATATAACTTCAGCACGATATCCCCTACCCTAACATCCCAAGGAGATGAGCATCCAGCGTATAACGTGCTGTATTAAGTGTTATCACTGTCAGATTCCAGGAAATACTTGATTTTCCTCTTTCCATGCATAACTGTTTGCCTACAAGTTACAATACATCACCGCCTAAACAGAAAGCAGGGAAACCCCTCCCTGTAAATACAGGACAATTTGTATATCATTGTGGTACCAGAACTGCCCAGCTGGTAAATGACATCTTGCTGGTCAACAGGAATATGATCAAGCAGCTCTTGCGGTCTGTTTTGGTTTGTTGGTGGCATTTGTTTGTTGTTTTCTTGCTGTTTTTTGTTTTGGGGGGGTATGTGTGTGGTGTACGCTTTGGTTTTGTAGTTTGTTGGGATTTTTTTCCCCCCCAAAACCACTTCTATAGATAGTTTAAAAGCTTATGGAAATTTTTATCACACTTACCGTGTAGAAAGGAGAGAACCGTATGTTATAGGGCTTTCAAACACAAAGTTTTAACATGCTTCACTTCTATGTATTCTTGGATGACCTCCCACTATCACTTGACTATTTCACCACTATCACCAGTGATCTCTATACCTGTTCTTAGCTAAACTGTGATTCCTTCTCATCTACTTCAATAAAATCTTCATAAAAGAGATAACATCTCACTTATCAACATACTTAGTCTACGAAACTAGATCCTTGAACAGAAATAAGTCAGCTGTATGCCAAGAAATGTAAAACTTCATTTGTTCCTTTCATTACCATTTCACAAGCAGCTTGTTATACCCTCATTTTCTACACTGACTATTCTAGGAAATAGCTCAGTACAGTTATTTTTACAGCTCGATACAGATTTGGCTAACCTACAATCAAAGTGTTCTTGAGCAAATTGATTAGTATTGTTGTATCATTTAGCTTTTACAGTTAGGTCAAGATTTGATGGGAACCTGTCTTTTGCAATGGGTACTACAGAAGGAAAGCACTCACATCCTCTATATTTGCTTCTCTTCCACGTTAAAATGTTTGCAAACTTTGTCAAATTTGAATTTCACAACAATTACTAATTGCTCTCATTTTTCTTCTTGCCCCTTTGTGTGGTTGTTTCCTCTTAATGAGTCAGTAGGAAGCAAGTATAAGTTTTCATTATGAAACTAGCGTATTTTTAACTGCAGCATCACAGAGCATCCCAGTTGCATACAGGAAATAAAAAGCACAAACCTTAGTTTCAGCTCCCATGTTGAAATTCCAGCTTATAATTGTAAAGTCTATGTCACACCGCATTATCAGACTGCTTACATATAGGCAAAACTGCTTTCTGTATCACTATCACTTTCTATATCACAGAAAGAACTTCCCAAGCAGTTAACACCCACCTCATACTTCCCTCTCAAATGAAGCATCATGCATTGTTATAAACTTCCATAAACTCAGTCCCCAGCAGATGACAAGAAAAACAGTGCTTTTTTAGCTCTCAGGCTTGCAAACAAAATAGACTGAAAACCATTAATTCTTCTAAAATATTCTTGTTCCACTGACAATTTTGAAGTTTTACCCTGTATTAATAGTACCTGGTTGAGTCAAATGTATGACAATAAAGAAGATGAAAGAAATAGTTAACACCAAAATGAATAGATATATAAAGCAGGTATCTTACCTTGCCTGCATCCACCCTTTTGGCCAAAGTGGTTTCACTTCTGTTTCCATAAAGGTTTTGAGGTAATCTTCAGCAGACTGACTTCTATTTGGCTCTAGCTCATAGCATCCCAGCTTGATCTTGACAAGATTACACAACAGAGATCTACAGAAAGAAGTACAATAAATATATTGAAAGAAACGATGCTTTCAAAAGCTCAGCAGAAAAAGCCTGAGAAATGGAAGCACTGATGCTATACAGCTCCTGTCCATTGCCAGTTATAGGAAGGGGTCAGTTCCGATCACTTTTTTTTGGAAATCTGACACTGCACAAGTTTGCTACTACAACTGGTATGATCTGCCACTGTCACTTCTCCATTTCCAGCAAACCATACGTTTGGTTTTTTTTTCATACTTACTATCATTTTGTAATTGGTTTTACACGTTCTTTGTGGTTTCCTCCTAGCTGAACCATCTCCTCTCACTTTGCTCAGTAACCTCTATCTCATTTAAGATGGAGAAGGTCTGAAAGCCAGTGAAATCCATTCTACACTGAATATCTCAGAAGATTCTTTTTGACAGGGATGTTGTCTTTTACTGTCCTTAAAAATACAGAAGTGTACACAGTAAAGTAACATCAGCCTTTCAGAGACACTTGAATGAAAAAATCAACAGATTTAAGTATCTTCAAGTATGGCTCCCACCAGATCAGTCCAAACTATACTGGTTGTATATATTCCATTAAGCTTGTCTTAACATACTGAAAGACTCATCATGAGAGGTCCACCAGCCCCTTTTAATAATATTTATATGTGTATTAAAATTAGCTTAGATCTGGCATGGGAAATCACTCATTTAGAAGGATCTGCTTGCTTAAAAGCCTATCTAGATTATTCAAATAATAGTAATCTCAGTTTCCAGTAAAATCTATTCTAGGAAATGGAACAGTGAGAATTCATCATTTCAGTGTTGCTCTTGAGAGATAACAGAATTTGTGTTCAGAGAGAATGTGAGGAGCCAAGATTCACGCATTCCAGATGCTGGCTTGCCCAAGGACTGGGAGGCTTGTCAAACCAGCATTGCCAGTTTTGGTGATCTGCCCTATTGTGGCAGAAATCATCGTGACCTATACCTAGAATAGTGGGAAGCAGGTATAACTCTGCTTACACCTGTTCTTTGCTTAAAGAAGCTCACAGTCCTAGGACCAGGAAAATTCTCATGTATTTGAATAAAGCAGATAGAGCGAAAAAAGGGTTGGGCATAGGATGATCTTGCCTTTCAATTGTAAGAAAAAATTGAGGCATTCTAGCTTGCCTATTTAGCCCCAACACTCTCCAAAGCTACTGAGAAAAATTATTAAACAGTATCATGTATTAACATCACCTTGGAGAACCTTTTACGAAGTCAGTGAAAATCCTTGGTGGAAAAGGTAGTTTTGTCTCACCTCACTGTGTCATCCCAATGAAACTTCTTTCTGGGTCCCACAACCCTCTTTCCAGGTTTCTCATCATCATCTTCCTCTGATCCATTTCTCTCTCGTTCATCTTCCGCTTGCAACCTATGGTTAGAGCAATTGTTTTCTTTATAGGTATACAACACAGACAAAATGTTTCCTTGGGAAAGGAGTGTAATTTTAGGCATTAGGGTAAAAGAAAAAAGGGACCTGTCTTCAGATTCTCATTATACCCTTCCTGAAAGGGTAACAGTTCATCTTCCTTTCCTCACTGCTTCATGGTCACCAGAGACAAATGAAAAGGACACACTGCATGGGTGCTGTCAAGAATGTTGTCTATTAGCTTCACGTAGTGCCTTTACTGGGAAATGGCAGGATGCTTATCTATTTTATCAATATTAATGCTTCTCCAAGTCTAAAACTAGTTAGCCATGAGGAAACAATTACAACGAACAAGCACAAAATATATAAAGAACCTGAACACACCATCCTCCTCCATTAATCCAGCATTTTGAAGAATCACCAGTATCCTTCTCACAGTTTATAATTTCTTTCTCTCAGACCTATTTCATTCAGTTAAAGGAATTTCCTTCTAGAGCCAGATGTAACATCACTTACATAAAACTAAGGACTTTGTACAGTGCAAAACTTAAGACACCTGTAAACTGGACCCGAGTACTCTGCTGAGCTCAAGGAACGAACAACATGGAGACAGACTTCCAGCTGGACTCTGGAATGGGCATGCACAGACTACAGAAATACCTACTTAGCATTCTTGGCTTGATTGCGGGCCTGACAGTCCTCTTGATACTTGCATAACTGTTCAGGCATGACATTACTGACAGCCAGTTTCAGCTTTTGCAGTGGTTCTCTCAAGCGGTCATCCTGTGAATAGAGAAACACCAAAGCAGTCCAGTTAGATGCAATGTAAAGAGTGTTTCAGATAGTTTCACAAAAATTATCACTCCTCAGTGATTGCAACAGCTATTTTCTGCATGGCACTTGAATTCTGTTAGGTGTAGCAGCATTTCAGAAATGCACATACTTGAAGTTTCTCATACAACTCATCTAAGTCCTGAGACCAGAAAAAATGAAAGATACTCACAAGGAAACAGATCATGAATATCCCAAAACATTGTGGCATGACATCATTAAATAATGCTTTTTAATCAAAATAGGGAATGGAAGAAAACCCGAGAGAAAAAGCAAGATGACTTGACCAACGAGTATCTCAATACTTGCAAATAAGTATCCAATTAATCAAGTCTCCAAAAACTCTGTGGTATAAAAACATCCTAGGTAATGAACAAAATATTGTATGAGATTATCTGAGTATTAGATTATTATTATTATATGTAGCTTCTGTATCTCAAAGGTAAGGACTATGTATTTAGAACTGTCTCCAAAGACTAAGAACTTCAAACATTAAAGTAATATACTCCCTTAAATGTTTTAAATTCTCTTCCTACATCTTCTGTCTCTACATTCTTAATCATAATTGCTTGAGAAGAATGAGAATACTATGTGCTATTAGGTCTTACTGTTTAGAAATAGCACATGAATCTTTTTGCTGCCTTAGCAAGTTCTGAGATCGCTGCATTCATGATCCTCAGATCCTCTGCAAGATTTAGTCCTGGATTTCATCAAAAGAATCAGGTCAGGATACTCCAGATCACAGGTAACTTTTTATTCAATAGGAAAACATATTCTTTAAGAGAAAAGCAACCGCAAATGACATATTAAGTATTTGCAAGACCTAGCCACAAAGGCAAATTTGCAAACAGTACAGGCTGGGTCATCTATTATCCATCCAGCCTTTTTTTTGTTCTTGACAAAAAATGTGTGAATGCAACAGTATTTTTTTTTCATCCTGTCATAACCATGATTACTGTGGCTTTCTAGTTCTGCTACTTTAATACGTACACTGTACCCAGCTTTCAAGATGAAAACACTTCATTCTCAAATAAAGGGTTTGAAATACTTAAAAATATTTGTTCCTACAGTAGTGACAATAGCAGGTATACAAAAAAAGCTTTTAAGCTGATCTAGCAACTGATCCAAAATTTTTTGCTTTATTGAACACTATGGCTGTTGCTCTACTCTCCTGCATTCTGTCCTCATCATTATTACATAAGTGACTCATGCTGGAGCTAATCACCCCATCATTACCTGGACATTGAGATGTAACTTCTTCAGACGCTTTATCAGTGTGTCCTTATTGCATGGCACAAAAGCCTCAAGGTGAGAGTACACTCCATTGCGGATAGCAGGATTTATCTCCTGTAACTGTAGCTCAATACTGACAAACAAACAAGAGACAGTCAACCAGGGAGGCACTCCAAGATGTAGACGACAACTGAACAAAAACCTAAGGAAGCTTTGTATGCATAACATTCTAGCTATGCATAATAAAAATAGCAGCTTGGGACATTTTCAGATAAACTTTTTACAAAGGAGGAAGTCTTAATCAATAGCAAGAAGCAATTCATATATATACTTCTCCAGTGTTGAATACTGCCATTCAAATTTTGTTACTCCCACCATTGCACATCAATCTATACAATTCTGACTGCTACAGTCTTCTAGAGGTTAAACTCCCACCATTGCACATCAATCTATACAATTGACTGCTACAGTCTTCTAGAGGTTACTTTTTGTTTCTTAGAATATGAACATAACCTCCTATATTAAATGCTTACTTGAAAGCTTACAGAGCAAAAAGAGCTCACACTTTCCTTCATGAAAGCTGAAGGTGTTTTGAGTTATGAAAGCGGGCGACAGGAAGAAATAATGGCAGTTTTGTTGAATTTTACATATGAAGTCAAGGACACAGTGCACTACAAAACACTTTACACTGGATAAAGACAGACAGATAGTCATAACAGGAATTGTATTCATATATAAATCTCTTTAGCTAATAACTAGCTTAGACTGATCTACCTTCATTGACTTTTAAGGGCTGTTGGAACAACCTCAATAATATTTCCTCTTCTGTACTTTTCCTTTCACCCCCTTTCCAAAAACGGAAGGTTGTACAGATAAGCACTTACTCCAGCAGAATATTATTCATGTCTTGTGTGAAAAACTTCTTCCTGCCTTCTTCATCAAACATCTTGGCGGCCTGAAAACACAGCAATAGAGTACCCAAAAGTTCATAGAGCATTTTATCCCAATAACCTTTGTATCTTTATTTTTACAGCTGTATCACATTCTTATTTTGCAGAGAACAGCATTACTTGGAAAAAATAAACAAAACCAAACTATACTCAGCTGTTTAGAAAAAAAAAGGTGAGGATTATTATTATACTCAAAAATGCCTTGCTCTAGGGCAAACAATCATTTTATTTATAATTTACCTAGATCACTGATAGTAACACATTCATCTTTTCAATAACCATGAAGAAAATGGTAGAGATTTTTTATCATCTCACCACCAGCAACATCCCACTACCACTGTTTGCTTTAAAAAGAGGAGCATTGCTTGACAAGTCAAGCAGGCAAGAGCATCAACACATTTCCACTCTCAATCTATGTAAGGCTCCTTTTCTACCTCTGTTGTATGCCTCATCCAAATACAACTTCCCAGTTGTCTTAGATCCACCTCAATCCTTCACTGCAATTTCTACAAAAGGGTTATGTATGCTAGAGGAATACCTCATCCCTCTTTTCTGGTGCTGTCCAGCATTCTCACCAACTTTAGACTACATCTCTAATACTTTTGTCAGGTTTCTTCCTGAGTCTGTTTGGGGTGGGGAAGAAAAAAAAAAAAAGACGGCTTTATTCCTATACATACATTTATTAGAAGTTTTTACTGATCTCGCAGGAATTTCCATGCAGAATTCCTTTACCTTTGTTCTTATCATCTAGATTCTTATTTTCACAATGACAGCTTGTACAGGAAAGCCAATTCCCTGCACCGTTCCACAAAAATCAGTAAGATCATCTCTCTAATGTTCATCCACTCTGCAGATTTATAGAAGTCAAGAGTGAAAAAAACAATTTTTTTTGGCAGCCAGAGTACAAAACCCCCTTTCAGAGGCTTATTGTCATCTTAGATTCTGTCACTGGTACCAGACAGCAAGTATCTAGACGAGCTGGAAAAGGATATGCATGCAGAAAAGTAGGCAAGTGTAGTATCATTATAGTAACTGACAAACATTAGAGGCAGCCAACATGCTACGAGGCTGAATATTCAAACAATTAAAAATCTTTGCCTTTTAAAAAATTTTTAGTGACTGGTGACAACATAGCTAAAAACTACAAATAAATGCAAGTGTTAAGTGCTAAAATCCCTTTATTACTATGAAATACTTACTGTTCTTGCTTTTTATAACAGACTCATTTAAGTTTGAAAGAAAAACATTTTCTGGAATTGTGAACTCTACACTGCACAGGAAAACAGGAGTCTGATATTCTATCAGAAACCCTAAGGTAGCCCATTGTCTGAATGCTTTACCATTCAGTCATGAACACTGATAGAGTTTAAGTTCCTTAAGTTAAGTTAAGTAAGGACTGCATTCTGCTCACTACTTTCTACTGTAAATTCAGCTGCTGAGGGGATGGTACTATTGGTTTAAGATTACTGAAGCATTTGTCCTGCTAAAAAAAATTAGAAGAGTTGTAGATGTTTACAAGTATACTTTAGATAGGATACTAAAAAGACAAGTTTGAAAGTCTTAAATCCAGTACCTTTAAGCATAACTAACACAAAGATTATAATAATCTTCTGGTTTATATAAAGTGGAAGGAAAGCAAAATATGCTTTGACATTTCGGTCCCAGGTAGACCTTAAAAGGCAACTTCAGCATTATACTATCATACTGGACAGCGTTGCTGGCTTTTGAAGACAGCAACATTGGCAGATTCAATAACTGCATCGCTATCACCAAACTGTGGTGGGTTTTGCATCCACAGACAGATTATCTTGACAGCTACCTTCACAACACAAAAAAGCCATTTTATTACTTTCCTGCTTGTGTACAATACTGTCTTCTGTTAGGGCAGTTCTGAATTGCCCACTTAGGGAACTAGAACACATTAAGCTACAAAAGAAAGTCAGGAAGTTTTTATTGTATTTAGTCAGTAGCTTTCCATTTCTTTTTTTTAATCTAGATATATCATAGTCCATTCATGGAGCATAGGCTTTTTCCTACAACTTTATAAATTACTTCGCTTTCTTTGCGGTAAAGAGCACTAAAGCTGTGAGCCCGTTAAGTATTCAACAAAACCCATTTCTTTTTTCCTGCTTTTTAGAAGATGTTTTCCCCCACTGGTACCGTGTCAGTTGATTGCAACTTGCAGAGGGTAAGGAAGTCGCAATCTAAGTCAACGCAGCCTAGTTTTTCCCCCTAAGTGTATGAGTAGACCTGCTTTGCTCAGCCAGCACAAAACTTCCAGAAGACATTATCAAAAGCAGAAGATAGGAGAGTTAGGTTTTCAAGAGCCACTGAATGAAAGCTTTCTTTCAGCTAGGTGGGGCTTGTTATACAGTGAAGCAGCATGAATTTGGGGTAGGTCACTAACACTTCCTGACTTCTGGCCTAATTCAGTTCTTCTGCAGTTTTGCTAGAAGCTTATTGATTCATAGCAAAATTAACCTGAATATTCAAGACAGACAAAATCTTCTCTCTCACTTTAGTAAATATTAACCTCTTGGCTGTATTTAGCTTGGAACATAATTAGAGAACACTAAGACATTTACATACAGTTAAGATAAACAATAGGTTTTATCACTACTCTAACCTGTAGCAAAGCAAGCTCTGCTACTGTTTAATTTTTTTTTTTCCCCCCCAAAAAATTAGTAACTTGAGCTGCTTTTTCAGAACTTTAAGTAAGGAAAAGCTGCACTTTTTTCTGAGTAAAGCAAAAGCTTTAATATCAGAATCCAGACAATCAAACAACACATTCTCAACTTAAGATAACATCCACAACTGAAACAAGGAGCATATAATACCTTAATAGCTCTGATCCCTTTCAATAAGCTATTGGGATGTTTGTAACCTGTGGATTCAATATTTTCCATTAATATTTTTGATGAGTTTGGACTCCATTCTCATGTTACAAAAGAAAATATTCAGTTCAGTGGGTTTTGGATTTTTTTTTTGTAGTTGGATGTTGGTTTGTGGCTGCTGTTGATTTTTTTTTTTAAACTGGCAAGTTAGTATTTATGTTACAAAGCCAAAAATTCAAGATGTTGATCTGTAAGCTGCAGCCATATTTCAGGTTTCCTTTCCAAAGAGGGAAAACACTCTTCCAATTCAGGAACTAATAATTCAAGATAAACACAGATATTTCCATTATGGAAAAAACCAAACAAACATTACAAGCTGTTGTACAGAGAAAATTTAGGAAGCCTTGCCTCCACATGAAACAAACACTGCTTTATCAATCAGCCTGCATCATCTCTGTGCCCATTTTCATCCGAGTACAAATACAGCCATTCAGATTGACATTAAGATCAATTCTACATTTTTTTTTTTGGCGTTTCAGCCAGCAACTCCGGGATGACAACTTAGGCCCTAATTCTTCTTCCTTGTTCTCTCAGATTCTTGAATGCATTCCCTTACCAGTGAATTCATACTTACTGTTCGAAGGTCTCCAATGCGCTTTTCAAGTAGCACAGGCAGACCTTCTGGGAGGGCAGGCACCTGCTTGGGTGTCATGACCTGAGAGGTGTAGGTTGCCTGAGTGACATTTCCATTTTCTCCTGACAGCTCAGATACCGGGCTGCCATCAGAAGTGCCATCAAGCAACTTGTCAAAGTCAATGTCTCCCAGCATCTCCAGGGCACTTTCAGTTTCTTGCAGGAGCTCACGTTCATTTGTGCTACCAAAAATGGAGAGGACAGGATCATTGATCCTAAGATTCAAGTCAGAGATATCATTTCCTGCACTGAGAGAGGAGGAAGGAATTTTACTAGGGGTAGAGGTTACAACAGTCACTGGAGGTTTTGGACTAGATTCCTTCTTCCTCATGGCTTCCTTCTCCTTTTGAAATTTACGGATCATGGCAGCCAGAGAGAGTGAGTCTTTATATAATTTCTTTTTCTTCTTTTCAGACTTGTGTGAATTTAAGGCCATAACTCTGTAGAGGAAATAAATCTTCCATTAGAATGCACGTGACTTTTGAAGCCTTAATAACCTTTAACAAAAATCAGGGAGTTTAGTACAATTAAAAAGTTACCGGGGGAAGAAGCAAGTACTTTGTGCTTCCATCTTCAGACTATTCTATCAACTACCATAAACCTTTGCTGGTCATGTGACTTCATGCTCTCCAACTGATTTGTTTTGCACATATTAAAGCAAAGGTTATTTGCTTTTGACTTCTCAATTTAATTATTGAGAAGTTGGCACAGTTCTTAAACTCATGGCTGATCTATGCTACTAAAATACTTAAACTTGCCTCTGGTGGCAGGTTGCTTTCAGTTTAGGCACACCACGTACATTAAAAAAATTTCTCTTCATCGCTAAGAATTTTGACATGCAGGCTCAACATCTATATGCTAGCTAAATTGAGCATTTTCCATCAATTCATCACCTTTATGAAAAACACTATAACAAATTTTCAATATCAACTTGAATATTCATAATAAGACAGCTTTCACTCAATGATAGTTTTCTAGAAGTCAATTCAAAAACCCACCACCTTAATCCTTCCATGCCAGCCTCAGAACTCAGGAAAGCACACACAAATGTATTAAGAAATATTTGTAGAATAATTAAGCTGTGTTTATATAGTTTTCTAGATTAGAAACCAAGGGATATGAAGAAAATTATTTTTCATTAGATGTAATTCTTAGTGCTATATGAGACTTTGGGTAGAACAATGATGGATAAAGCCATTTATAGACTCAAAATTTATTTTCTGTAATTCGTTTTGGTTTATTATTTGGGGGGGCGGGCAAAAATTAGCTTGTAGGACTTATTTATGCAAAAACCTCACACAAGTTCTAAAACCTAAATCTATCAGCTATTAATTATCGTTTAAAAATATAATATTCTAAACAGCTGCGATAATCTTCCTATGGCACACTATTTTGAAATCAAGCCTCACACATACATTTCAAGGGTTCATCTAAAGAAAGAAACCTACCCCAACTGCTTAGGAACTTTCATTTTCCGAGGCTTCTTCTCTTTTTCTGTGCCTTCATCTTTCCGCTTGCGCTTCTTCATTCCACGATCTTCGCTTTCTTTTAACTTTGCTATCTAGAAAGTGAGGTCAAATAAAGGACAATGATTCTTCTACCCTATAGGACTTCAACAGCAAGAAACATTTGGTTTTCTTCACACTTTCTAATTCAGAACCAGGAAAAATACCTCAGTGTCCATAAAGGCAAACAGTACTACTGGATTCCCAGAAGCAACTGCAGTTACTGACCAAGTCTCAATCAATAATTTTTAAACAGTTACTGAAATCAGTTTTCAAGAAGAAAAATGCTTTAAGGCACATGCAGACTGATGCCTAGCCAGTACGAGTAACAGCTACTTTGGAAGACTGAATCACCCCACCTTCTTCTGCTACTACAGTTTCATTGCTGAGTATGAAGTTACATAGTATGGAATAGCTTTTTGGCCAATTCAGATCAGCCATCTCCCCTCCCAAGTTCTTGCTGATCCCTAGCTTACCTGTTGCAGGGCAGGGAAAAAAGCAAGCCTTCAGACTGTGCAAACATTATTCAGCAATAGACCACACTTTGGTGCATTATCAACAGTTTTAGTCACAAATCCAAATCATAACACCGTAAGGGCCGCTATAAAGAAAGTTAAGTCCATTCCAGTCAGATCCAATACAAGAACCTTAAAAGGACATCAGAAAGCAGGAAGCTCTTGGAATGGCATGAAACTTGTGACCGTCATACACAAGCCATTATATTCATGTTGCTCATAACTTGTCTAAGTACACAGAACAGCATGCTGTTTGAGAAAGACTATATATACACCTTTTAATACAGCTACTCACACACCAAGTATATTTTAGCAGATATTTTGGTTTAAGTCTTATTCTGAATATTAGGAATAATTTCAAAACATGGTGGCTTGTGCAAAATCATAAAAGCAGTGTTGGAGAATTTAAGTTCTCATCTCATATAACACAATTCCTATAAAATTACTGAATCATTTGTCACTTCAAGATGGCTGAACACAACTTGTTATGTTGCCTAAACAGATGGTTAGCCTTACAAGACTGGACAGCCTGTGGATATCTTGAGTTATTTCCTAAATGCTAGTACATGAGCCAGGAAACAGAAAATAGGATAAAACAGTACTGTGCATCATTCTGCTTTCAGCCTCCTCATCTGAACCATTCTAAGCATATCAAGTATTTCCCAATGTCCACCTAGCTGTAAGTTCTGTATAAAAAGCATAATTAAGATCACTCACTTTAGGCGGCCTATGCTTTTTGTCTTCTGCAAAGTCTTCATCCTCTGAGTCAGATGCCTGGCGGAACTGCAGTGTACCAGTGTTGATATAAAACCCTCCATATTTGGTTGTCAGGGATGCAGGAACCAATTCATCATACTGGGCAGGAAAAAGATCGAGTTTATCGTCATTTCTTCACAAAAACAGTATGCATTTCATTTACCACTCCCCCATACATGAAAAATTATGTACAAGTACACAGAGCAGCTTCCTAGAATAGAAACATGATAGTAATGCTATTGAAAACTTACTGGCCTAGGCAGAGAACATTAATATTGCAGAATAACCTTTCTACTTTCAGAACAATGCCCTTTTTGGAAGAAAGGACAGAATTACAGCATTAAAAGTACTGCTTTCTGAAGAAAATGAAGATGGGCACAGGGGCACTTCCACCCCCACCTTGAGGAAAAAAAAGCGCCCAAAAAAAAGCTTTTAAACTTCCCCCCTCATCCCAATATTCTGTCTCTGAGAACGTGTCACATTATGCTAGATGTTAAATTTCAAGATACATAAACCATGTGAACAATGATACACCACATGCCTATGAGCAACTTCACTTGATTGTTCACTGGTTTTTGTCCAGAAAGTAGGCAGGCACACAGAGAATTACTTGTGTTCATCTATGATAGCTTTAGAGGCACACCAGCAACATCACTGGTTGAAAACCAATTTTGTAAAGAAAAACTAAAACAAACACCCCCATAACCAAAAAAGAAACCAATACAAAACAACCTGTCTCTATAGATTCTTCTATTGAACACCCTTCAATTTTATGATAATGTGTGGTTCAAATTACCTTCTGTTAGTCATACACTTCTATTACAGGCCCTTTAAGTTATCCGTAAGCAATAGCTTCTTTTATTTCCAGAACCTATTTCTTCCATATTTTCAAAAAAGATGACAGTGCGAACAATCACTATATTGCAGTGGAAGAAGCCTAATCCATATCAGAATTTTACAGAATTGGCTGTTATATCCAGGGAACAGGACTGAAGATAGTAGAGACGTTTTTTGGGTAAATTTTGTAAGTTAAGCATAAAAAACTTATCAGATTATATGCTTTGTTTCATTAAGACTGCCACAGTTTTTTCATTAATACCAATCTCTACAGTGCACTTGACATACTCAGACATTCCAACACATGCTACATTTAGTACCAACTCTAACCACAGTGCCCTGCTCAAAAAACTACTTCTCTTACAAAGTTCTCTGAAAATTTCTTTTGTCAAAAATGCCATCCCAGACATGATAAACTTAGGCAGAGTATCTGTTAGCTTATTTCCAATTTTAGGTGTTAAATATGACATAGCCTCTTATACAAATACCACAATGCCAGGACTTGTTTCGTTGAAAGTCAGATATATTCTCACTCTGTTTAGACAGTTTTAAAACCACAAAAGGTTTCAAACTTATACACACTTTATTTTGAACAGCATATAGTATTTATGAAGGAATTTCCAAGTCAGAATTGCAAAGCTGTATCTCAAAAATATTGAAACCCAAAGACTTAAGAAAAGCGGTCAATATTAAGCATAGTGGAAGACAATATTATTTCATGACCAGCATCCTCCTCAGAATGACATTCTCCCCCAGGTATTACCAGAAAACTGCTAATCTCTAGAAATATGTCACTAACAGAAAACTCTCAAAAGAGGCTAGAGGATGCATAGATTCATTCCAGCTCTATGCATAAGTATCAACAAAGCAAGACATGGAAGTGTTTGCAAGAGAACTGAGGGAGGACTCCTTTGACAACTTACCACTATGCAGAAGGACAACGTTGTCCTGAACTACTCCAGATTCGAACTATCCGTCCTAGTTTTCAAATACTGAAAATTTTAAGATGGTGCACTTAAGCAACAAATACAATTCTGGAAGCTATAGCCTGTCTGGAAGCATAAAAGCAGAATGCCTGAGACATACCTGCCAACAAAGATAAGGAGGAAGCACTTACAGGACCTAGAAGTGTTACAAAGTACTAGAAAGACACAGCAGCAAGGCAATGACTAAGAATCAATTTCTGCCCTTCTGAAAGGGTAGGATTCTAACACACCTCAGAGGTATGCACTCCAGCTGAGGCAAAAGTCGATTTTGAGTTACAGCTGCAAGCAATAAATGTTTGTTAGCACAGTCAAACAATTAGGAATTAAGATACTTGAAAAGGAAACAATGTGTTTGTTATTTTGAAGTTTTAACCAGGCAGCCCTTCCACTGCATGTCTGTTAAGACAGATTTCAAGGGGCTGAACAAGTCAGTAGGCAGTTCTAACTGCCACAGCATTAACTGAAGACTTGAGATCACCTACATGAACACAGTGCCAAGCAGAGCATCAGCTACCAGCTTATTTCATTTCCCCCTGTACACCATGCAAAATATACTGAAGATAAAACGGTTTAAGAACCAAAAAGTCTGGGCTACCAAAAGCATTAAGACAGGAAGAAGAGTTATCCAGAAGAGGAAAACTGTGAATGCATACTTCAACAAGGAAGCTGATGAAAGCCTGAACTAGAGACCTATGTGGATTTGATCTGAGTAAACAGTTAGAACTTTCTATGAGTCATCACCTTTTATCTTCATGGAATGGAAGGCTTATCAAGCAGTACAGAAAGACAGAAATGGAAAGGAAAAGTGGTGACAGGATCTTTGAAATACCCTAAGATCACGTGAAAGACTACCACAAGAAAGCAGAGAAATCTATTAATTGGACAAAATGAAAGCAAAGTGGCTTAGTTGTGGACTTGTCATTCATCTTAAGAGACCAGGACAGTCATGCAAACTAGGAGGTGCAAAGTAAACTTGAGTGGAGGCTGGGTAAGAATTTCAGAGAAATCTGATGGTTTTCCACAGCTCTCAGAACAAGCTCCATTACGTAAAAGAAAGATGAAAGGGAAAAAAAATAAATCATCCACAGTGCTTAATAGACAGAGCAGGCATTTCCCTTTTGAGCTGACAGGGTGTGAACTGAATTGGTGAGTCTGGGGCAGTATGTGATCAAAACATAAGAATATAGTAGTTGTCAAGTTTGAAGGAGAAAGCATACAGTCAAAGCTGGGACCATTATCATAAGAAATTAAGAACAAGTAAAGGGAAACACAGTAAAGACTTGGCTGCAGAGCAGTAAAGGAAGCCCTAGAGAACACACAAGAAAAATTAAGGATTAAAGACAGTTCACGAGTGAGGAAGCCATGAATCACAGCAGATGATTAGAATGATCAACATAGGCACAGATCCACAGGAACAAGGCAACCAGAAAGGCAGAATTCATTCAATACACAGATAAACAAACTGTCCCATAACAGTCAGCAAGATGCGGATGTGTAACTTACCAGTTGCTGTTTCAACAGCTTCTGCTGATGACCACAAATGTAGCCAGACTTTCAAAGACCTTTTTAACATTCAGTTCTTCTTGACCCTTGAGTGAGTTTACTTTTCCCCACGAAAATTTTGTTTGTCCTCAGCCTACTGAGCAAGGTATAACTCAATGTCTCATTCTATTTTCAACTTATCTAAAACTGGGGCCTGCAGACCACAATGTACCTACTACCCCCTCCTTTGAGGTAAGCTTACTATTTTCTAGCATCCTAACTGAACACAAAATTTGAATATTATTGTGTAAGATATTGGCAACAGCTAGATTAAATTTAATTTTAAAGTTTCTTTGTGACTCTCAATTAAAGGAAACATGGCTTTTGCAACTTCTAAATCTTTTGATTAATTGGTTTCAAGACTTTTGCTTTGCACTAGCTTTTTCTGCATATGAAATCACGGAAGTGATCCCATTACGAAAAATTGTTTAAATCCTTTCAGTGTTCTGCTCTTCCTTATACATTCCAAGATTGAGAATTTAAATTCTCAGACCTACAAACAGACAGGACTTCATATATGATTGACTCCTGTGAACATCAAACCTGCCCCATGAAAGATTAGGGAATCATCCTGTGGATAACAAAATAATGACTGATATATCCTCTGATCATCTAAAAGCAGATCAGTATGTAAATTGTTTTCAACTATTGTCCTTGAGCTACATTACTATGCTTCTGATGCCATTAATCTAATTAAATGTTTAGGTGTGAAAGATAATTTATGTTTTTTTTTTAAAAATAAGTTAACCATTTCAACTTCATTATTATACCAAGAAGAACAGTGAAATTTTACTGATTATACCAATCCAGATCCACAATACATAGCAGTATCTTATATTGCCTACTCTTGAGTTCAGATATTTCGACCATGATCCTCCTCATTCAGCTCCCTTCCAGAGAACAACCTATACTATAAAAGCACATGTGTGAAAACCTGAACACTTCTGTATTAAGTCCTGGAAATAGGTTTGCTGTAAACATATCCAAGTGTTTTAAGAAATGTATCCTGTACATTATTTGTTGTGAAACTGGTATTATTTAGAAAAAGATAAGCAGGGATCATTTTTATTCCTTGCTCAGTTTATTTGAGATGGCTCTAACCAGCGTGGGGGCGGAGCTGTTTATTTTTGATCATCATTAGCCCACTGAATAAAGTCAAGCTACTTAAGTTATGTTGAATATGGTTGCTTCAGTCAAATGGACTGAATATCCATACAGTTCACTACATACTTCAAGATACTTCAAACATAGTTGACTGATCTCTGTGCTGCTTAAAAGACACAAAGAACTGAAACGTACTCTTTGCCTTTGCTATCCTTTAACGATAAGTTTTCAAACAAAAAACAGAACTATATTTCTGAACCATATCATAATAGAATATACAATGGAATCCTAAACAAGGTCAAGGGGGAACAACACATTGCTTTTCTAATCCAAGATGACATCAAAAAGCAAGCAGAAAGAGCTTTCCCATGGTAAAGCAGGTTCCTCTTCCAAAATGCATAGGCAAGTCGTTTTGGTTTTTTAACTCTGGCACAAAGGACAGCTGGCAAAGCACAACAGAAAAAATCATAACAGACTATTAAATAAAGATATAATATCTGGCTCAGGGTAGTCTAGACTAGGATAGGACAGTCTCCTAGGAGAATCCTAGTTTAATAGTCAGGATATTGCAATCCATCAGTCTACCAGAGCACCTTGAGAACTCTGTGTGTGCGTGTATATATATATATC